AGGAATGGGCAGAATGATATGAAGGAATGGGCAGAGAGGGATGAAGGAATGGGCAGAGAGGGATGAAGGTATGGGCAGAGAGGGATGAAGGTATGGGCAGAGAGGGATGAAGGTATGGGCAGAGAGGGATGAAGGTATGGGCGGAGAGGGATGAAGGTATGGGCGGAGAGGGATGAAGGTATGGGCAGAGAGGGATGAAGGTATGGGCAGAGAGGGATGAAGGTATGGGCAGAGAGGGATGAAGGTATGGGTAGAGAGGGATGAAGGTATGGGCAGAGAGGGATGAAGGTATGGGCAGAGAGGGATGAAGGTATGGGCAGAGAGGGATGAAGGTATGGGCGGAGAGGGATGAAGGTATGGGCGGAGAGGGATGAAGGTATGGGCGGAGAGGGATGAAGGTATGGGCGGAGAGGGATGAAGGTATGGGCAGAGAGGGATGAAGGTATGGGCGGAGAGGGATGAAGGTATGGGCAGAGAGGGATGAAGGTATGGGCAGAGAGGGATGAAGGTATGGGCAGAGAGGGATGAAGGTATGAGCAGAGAGGGATGAAGGTATGGGCAGAGAGGGATGAAGGTATGGGCGGAGAGGGATGAAGGTATGGGCAGAGAGGGATGAAGGTATGGGCGGAGAGGGATGAAGGTATGGGCAGAGAGGGATGAAGGTATGGGCAGAGAGGGATGAAGGTATGGGCAGAGAGGGATGAAGGTATGGGCAGAGAGGGATGAAGGTATGGGCAGAGAGGGATGAAGGTATGGGCGGAGAGGGATGAAGGTATGGGCAGAGAGGGATGAAGGTATGGGCAGAGAGGGATGAAGGTATGAGCAGAGAGGGATGAAGGTATGGGCAGAGAGGGATGAAGGTATGGGCAGAGAGGGATGAAGGTATGGGCAGAGAGGGATGAAGGTATGGGCAGAGAGGGATGAAGGTATGGGCAGAGAGGGATGAAGGTATGGGCAGAGAGGGATGAAGGTATGGGCGGAGAGGGATGAAGGTATGGGCAGAGAGGGATGAAGGTATGGGCAGAGAGGGATGAAGGTATGGGCGGAGAGGGATGAAGGTATGGGCGGAGAGGGATGAAGGTATGGGCAGAGAGGGATGAAGGTATGGGCGGAGAGGGATGAAGGTATGGGCGGAGAGGGATGAAGGTATGGGCGGAGAGGGATGAAGGTATGGGCAGAGAGGGATGAAGGTATGGGCGGAGAGGGATGAAGGTATGGGCGGAGAGGGATGAAGGTATGGGCGGAGAGGGATGAAGGTATGGGCGGAGAGGGATGAAGGTATGGGCAGAGAGGGATGAAGGTATGGGCAGAGAGGGATGAAGGTATGGGCAGAGAGGGATGAAGGTATGGGCAGAGAGGGATGAAGGTATGGGCAGAGAGGGATGAAGGTATGGGCAGAGAGGGATGAAGGTATGGGCAGAGAGGGATGAAGGTATGGGCGGAGAGGGATGAAGGTATGGGCGGAGAGGGATGAAGGTATGGGCGGAGAGGGATGAAGGTATGGGCGGAGAGGGATGAAGGTATGGGCAGAGAGGGATGAAGGTATGGGCAGAGAGGGATGAAGGTATGGGCAGAGAGGGATGAAGGTATGAGCAGAGAGGGATGAAGGTATGGGCAGAGAGGGATGAAGGGATGGGCAGAGAATGCTGTTTCTTGTTGGATTTCAGACATGGGGGATTTGGTGGGTACAAGAATGAGAGTGCCATTACTTTTATACTTCCTGTAATTCCCCCAAACAGGTGTGGCTGTGGAGATTTCCACAAGGAAACACCGAATGGGGTAACCCTTACCGCGCTTTGATGTGCGACGTGATGCACATGTCCCCACTTGGAGTGTTTAAACACATGGTAGATTCTCTCCGAAACATCCTCAAGGGGGGCAGGGGGGAAGTTGACAAGCGGCCACTGTTCGATGATGCACTTTGTCGCATCACTGAGTACAGTAGACAATCGTTCTTCCGCCTACCAGGGAAGGGGAAGAGGTATTTCGCAAATGTTGGCACATTTTATGCATTCGAACATCAAGCAGTGATGCAGGTTCTGCCTGTGCTCCTTCAACAGATGGGGGCAAAAAAGGAGCTGGTAGAGACTGTTTCGATGTATGTCTACTGGCACTCGGAGGTGTGGTTGCGACCCTATCATACAGAGGCGACGTTGATACACCTCGCGTCCCTCACAGGATTGTAAGTGCACACTTGTGATGTGATTATTATTTAGGCATCATTATCTTTAAGTCTACTAGACTCCGATGTGCATCCCACCACTCCTCTTTCCATCACTTTCATACCACGTACAAGCCCAAGGGTCCGATCATTGCAAACTCATGATCGTGTTCTTTGCAATAAGGTTCCATGGCATTTCCCTATATTGCTCCCACCCCAGGCTGATCCCTCTCCTTATCACTCACTTTGGAGCCGGACAAAAGTCAGAGTTCATGATTCCAAAAGTGCACGCGATGGTGCATGTTCCAGAGGATATCCGTCGTGGCGGTTTGCCAGTACACTACTGCACCGATTTTTACGAGCATCTTCACATCTCCATGATGAAGAGACCATATCGTGGGAGCAACAAGAAGAATTATGAGGAGCACATCACACGTCGTGCTCTGGTTGGCGAGCTTGTAGATGCAATAACTAGGGACGATGAGGACAAGGAGGATGCGGAAGTTAGAGCTGTAGCTCTACGTGTGGTGAGTTTGCCAATGGCTGTCCTCTCTGCCCATCCCTTTTTCCCTCTCATCCCATCCTCTTATTATTCGGCCAGGTGCGTCCCTTCATCCCTCTGATCCCGTCCCTTCATCCCTCTGATCCCGTCCCTTCTTCCCTCTGATCCCATCCCTTGCTCCCTCTGATCCCGTCCCTTCATCCCTCTGATCCCATCCCTTGCTCCCTCTGATCCCGTCCCTTCATCCCTCTGATCCCATCCTCTTATCCCCACCATCCCCATCCCTTCATCCCTCTCATCCCATCCCTTGCTCCCTCTGATCCCGTCCCTTCTTCCCTCTGATCCCATCCCTTGCTCCCTCTGATCCCGTCCCTTCATCCCTCTGATCCCGTCCCTTCATCCCTCTGATCCCGTCCCTTGCTCCCTCTGATCCCGTCCCTTCATCCCTCTGATCCCATCCTCTTATCCCCACCATCCCCATCCCTTCATCCCTCTCATCCCGTCCCTTGCTCCCTCTGATCCCGTCCCTTCTTCCCTCTGATCCCATCGTCTTATCCCCACCATCCCCATCCCTTGTTCCCTCATCCCATCCCTTGTTCCCTCTCATCCCATCCCTTGTTCCCTCTCATCCCATCCCTTGTTCCTTCATCCATCCCTTGTTCCCTCTCATCCCATCCCTTGTTCCCTCTCATCGCTCTCAGCCCACCCATCCCATCCCCGTATTCGTGTTCTTCTCATCACTCTCTACCAGGCTTTGGAGAGTGGAACGCCAACTGTCACAGGTCGGAATGGTCAGATCAACATGGACAAGCCAACTGGCAACCATTGGCAGCAACTGTGTGCCACTGCTCCTGGGGACATGGACCGTTTACAACCAACCATTCGAGGATCGCTGTTGGCTGGAGAAACATGCGATGCCACCATTCACCTGCACACCGGTGTAGGTATCCCAGGACGTGAGAACTATGATTTGTACAGCAGGCATGCTCAGTATGCCAGAGCCACACCTTCATTCTACGGGAAACCTTGGTACTCTGATGTATCTAGAAAGGAGGCAGTGGCAGGACGGGTCCATCGCGTGCGTTTTGGCAAGCTGCTGCTCATGTTCACCCTTACAAAAACCACCATGCTGACAGAGAATGGGGTTCAGGTCAAAGAGATTATGCAAGACCAGATGGGCTTCATCAGGAACTATGAGAGCACAGGCCCTACTGAAGATTATGACTTGGAGAGGTTGGTTTGGAGCGCAGGGGTAGACGAGTACTCTGTTTTTCCCATTTCCCACATCCTGCGCACTCTGCATGTGGTCCCTACATCTCCAGACCCCAAAGCACCTAGCGCCACCTTTATTTTGAACACGTTTAGGCGATAAGCACATAGACCTAGTTCGCAATGGAATTGCTTGGTCAGCGTAGCGCTTAAGACATATATCTTGTGTTCTGGTGGGTTTATTATTAACACCGATGGAGGCAGATTACTTGTGCAAACCCACGAAGCATTTTGCAATTTCAACATAGACGATATTGTTAAATAATGATCATATAATTAAAATATTGTGTCTTCTTTCCAGTGCAGTTTAGTATGGTTGTGTAGGGTGTTTGTGGGAAAAGTACGTCTCGGACGCGCTATAGGAACGCCCCATTCAGCGCTGTGAGGTGCTGTTCGGCTGGTGCGTTTTTGCGCCAACGGCCCGCAACCGCGGAGACAGGTGAGGTGAGGTGGCAGCGGGACTACAAGAAATATTCGGCCAGGTGCGTTTTGTCTGTAGCCGACTGTAAAGCGCCACATCAGCACCCCTTCCCCCCAACAGCGAGAACCAAACCAGGCTTGTAAGGTTTTGGCGCAAACGCTTTGCTGCTTTGAGTTGCGCGTGGAAAACCTGACCCCAAGCAGGCCTCTGCAAGTCAGGGTAATTACGCTGGGTTGTCATGGAAAAACAGGGTAAAACCACGTACGAGCTGGTCGAAACTCTGGCATGCGAAAACAGTCAGAAGTTCTAGGGCTACCCAGATTGGACGAGTTGGATCCCGCGGAACACGTCCGAATTGTGGCCGTACTGCACTGACATACGCGTTTTGTAAACTATAGTCTCGATTGCTGTCCAACTCGACAGTGTGTGACTGGTGCATCGTGCACTGCCCAACCGAGAACAAAAAGAAAAAACACAGACCAACCTTTCTGCCACTTCCGTGTCAGTCCCCCTTCGCCTAAAAAAACTCCTCTGCCTTGCTAGGGTTTGGCTGCCAACCAGCCAAACCCACAACGCCAACCGCAGCTGTGTTTGCAATTTCAAACTCGAGGTTTGAACTTCTAACTTCTAACTTCGAACTTCGAACTTCACACTTCAGACTTGAAACTTCGAACGCTGAGCCCACAACCCACTTGTACAAAGAGCCGCCGTCGCAAAACCCATTTTTCCCGCCATCCGCCCCACCCCCTGAAATCCTGTACAGAGCGAAATGTGATATAAACAAGCTCAGAGATAGTTCTAGGGTGCTTCGTCTCGTGGAGTCACGATTCTCAAGTTTCAGCTCACCAGGTGTGACCCTTGTTTTCTATAAAAGCTTAGTCGCCCAACCATTGTCATCAGCGCAAGACCTTTACAAGTTCTCTCCAGTTCTTTCATAGTATTCTCACGCCACACTCTCTTTTATTTCACGATGGCCCCTAAGGGAAACCAAGTTCCACCAGAGGTGCTCGCAATGGCACAACGTCAGCAGCCCAGCCGTGGCACGAAGAGCAAACATGCGACCCTCGGCGGTCATTACAAGGATCAAGGTACTTACTGCCTTCCTCTTTTGGCACATTCCGGTTGATTCCCTTCGCACAGTTTTTGCGACTAACCCTTATTTCCCGCAATTTCAGGAGGTCTGGCTGAAGCACAGACTGAGAGCGGTGGCCAGTCATTTGCTGGCGAGATTGTTGGGCTGCAGTTACCTGATATGGGACCGCCTGCACTGGCAACTGGCAGAAGTGGCGTGAGGAGCCTCAGCGCTGTTCTGCAGCAGGCCCCTCGTGCGCCTTCCCCTTGCAACGTTGCGAGTAACAATGGTACGAATGTCCCCTTGCCTTGGGTCCGCACGCTTTTACCCCATGCTAACTTGTATCTTGTCATTCACCAATGCAGATTCGGGGATCAACGGTGAGGTCAACCATGAAGCCCCCGCTTCTGTGTCACATCTTCCAGCCAGCCCAGCCAGGCTCCCAGCCCAGCCTCCTGCTGCCTCAACGCCTGTCCATGCTCCTCCCACGCTTGGTGCAACTGGTGATGCCTCAATTCCAGCAGCTGCCACGGCCTTCACGGCAGCGGAGGCGAACCAGCAAACGGATGAGGATGAGGCGATCATCATGCCTACAGGTAGACTTTGCTCCTGTTCATTCCGCCCTTTAGTTTGCAGCTAAACCCGATGACTAACCCAATTCTGGTGGTTCTTGCAGCTTATACCGCCGTTGGTACCCGGCTCTTTAAGCGAGCCGCTGGCGTTGAGACAAACGGCGGGGTGGATCTGCTTTACAGCGAGAAAGGCCGGAAGATGTCAAGGCTCAATGACGATGTTCGTCTGCGAAACACGCAGCTTGAGGAGGAAGCACTTGCTTCTAGAGACGAACTTCAACGACAGACGGTGGTCACCACTACGTCGCTGAGGGCGGTAGAGAACTTGGCCAACCACATGGAGAAGAAGGTTCTCACGGACAAGCGCGTGAATGTAAGTATCCATTCCCCCCTTCACAAGTGTGTGTGTTCGCTTCCCCCCTTCCCTCTCATCCTGTCCCTTGTTCCCTCTCCGCCCATCCCTTGATCCCGCTCTACTCGTCCTTCCATTCCCATCCCTCATGCCCTCGTCCCATCTGCCCATCCCTTCATAACTTTTTGTCCTTCCCCCCTTCTCCCTCTCATCCCGTCCCTTCATCCCTCCCATCCCTTCATCCCGTGCAGGACATCATGAAGCAGGCAGTTAGCCTCACCATCAGCAAGCCCCCGTACATTAACTATGCTCCAGATGAAGCCCACTGGCTGAACCTCTTTGTTGGTATGTGCTGCAGCAATTTTGCTATCAAATTTTGCCCGTCCCTTAATTCAACGTGGTGTTCTTCATCACAGTCACGATTTGTTGTTTCAACCTTACCTGGCCTGATCTATCGTCACCCGTTTTCTACTACTGTGCAGAGCTGGCAAACGTGCAGCCACTCTCAGAAACCGCATTCAAGCTTAAGCTTGAACTATCGAACTCTGATGCCTTAGAGCGGACTGCCAAAATGTTCAACAACAGGTTTGGGAAAAGGCTTTCCAACCTCAGGCTCGGAGCACTCCTTAATTCCCCTCTTAAGCTAATCAAAGCTGTGATCAACAGCGATGGGAAGAAGTGCTACAAGAAGGACACTGAGTTCGCACTTGCATGTGTGAAGTGGGTTGCTGAGAACGCAATTGGTGAGTAGTTACTCTCGTGCTCTCTTGATCGTTATCACACACCTGGTGCTAGCCTAAACTCCCTTGTTCTTTGCAGATGACACAGGGATCCCATGGCACGAGTGGTTGGGTGTCCCGTTCTCGAGCCCTGCCTTTCTTGCGGTGGGGAAAGTGTGGACAGGGAAGGCCGGTCCAGTCGTAGCGCTGCACCGACATCAGCTCACCCTCACTATGGCCGTGGTGAGCCCACAGCCCTTCCTGCCCGTCCCTTCATCCCTCCCTGCCCGTCCCTTCATCCCTCCCTGCCCGTCCCTTCATCCCTCCCTGCCCGTCCCTTCATCTCTCCCTGCCCGTCCCTTCATCCCTCCCTGCCCGTCCCTTCATCCCTCCCTGCCCGTCCCTTCATCTCTCCCTGCCCGTCCCTTCATCCCTCCCCGCCCGTCCCTTCATCCCTCCCTGCCCGTCCCTTCATCCCTCCCTGCCCGTCCCTTCATCTCTCCCTGCCCGTCCCTTCATCCCTCCCTGCCCGTCCCTTCATCCCTCCCTGCCCGTCCCTTCATCCCTCCCTGCCCGTCCCCTCATCCCTCCCCGCCCGTCCCTTCATCCCTCCCCGCCCGTCCCTTCATCCCTCCCTGCCCGTCCTTCATCCCTCCCTGCCCGTCCCTTCATCCCTCCCTGCCCGTCCCTTCATCCCTCCCTGCCCGTCCCTCCCCTCCCATCCCTCATCCCTCCCGCCCGTCCCTCATCCCTCCCTGCCCGTCCTTCATCCCTCCCTGCCCGTCCCTTCATCCCTCCCTGCCCGTCCTGTCATCCCTCCCTGCCCGTCCCTTCATCCCTCCCCGCCCGTCCCTTCATCCCTCCCTGCCCGTCCCTTCATCCCTCCCTGCCCGTCCCTTCATCCCTCCCTGCCCGTCCCTTCATCCCTCCCCGCCCGTCCCTTCATCCCTCCCTGCCCGTCCCTTCATCCCTCCCCGCCCGTCCCTTCATCCCTCCCTGCCCGTCCTGTCATCCCTCCCTGCCCGTCCCCTCCTCCCTCCCTGCCCGTCCCTTCATCCCTCCCTGCCCATCCCTCATTCTCTCTCATCCCATTTGCCCATCCCTTCATCCCTTTTTGCCCTCCCCCCCTTCCCTCTCATCCCATCTCTTGATCCCTCCCTTCCCATCCCTCCATCCCATCGCTCCTTTCCTCCCTTCTCATCCTTCCATCCCTCTCTGCCCATCCCTTCATTCCTCTCTGCCCATTCCCCCGCCCCTCTCTCTCCATCCCTTCCTCCCTTCGTTCCCATCCCTTCATTCCTCTCTCTGCCCATCCCTCCGTCCCTCTTGATCTGCAGATTCGTCACAAGTTGCGCAATCCGAACATGGCACGCATTCAGCTAGAAAGGTCTGGAGATCCTGATGCCCTCGGAAGGCAGGAGCGCGTCGTCCAGCGCCTGCTCAACCGGTTCCAGGCCACCAAGTACAACGGCAACAACTACTTCATCGGCAAGCTGTACCTCATGGATTGGGTGGATGTCCCAGAGAACATCCTGGCCCTTGATTTCGTGGGGGACCGTGACGTAGATGATGTGGTTGAAGGCGACCTGAATGGAGAGGGTGTGGAGGTTATTTTCTGAAGGGGGCGATGGGGCAAGTTGCATGTGGATGTGCTTCGTTATCAGGGATGTGATTCAAGACGTGCTGGTGTTTTGGAAGTTGATTAGGGCTTGTCTTTATGTTGGATGAAGAGGTATTGTTGAGGGTTGTTTTTCATTGCCAATAATATCTGTTATGGTTTGCGGGTATAATAATGAATGAAATCACGAGAATGTATATTTAAAAAATCGTTCAAATCGAGTTATAATATTGTAAAATTTTTACTTAGTTATATATAACAAATATACATACAACATAAGTGTCTAATTTACTGTCCAGTGATTACAACTCGTGGGACAAAAGATGTCCATTGCAGCGAAAGTCTAATAACAAAATTGGCGAGTCGATGCAATACGATTACAACTCTCCTTCGACGTGCACACCGAACCCCAATTTCCGAACCGAATTGCTCGATGCGACTCGGTTTGGTTGGGAATGTTGCGGGAAAGACGAAGACGTTCTTGACGACGACTCGCCAATTCCCAGCCAACCCCCTCCGAAGCGAGGACTTTCCCCCAACACACCTTCGACTTGAAAAACCTCCCCCCCCTTCTCCGATGAAGCTCGTCTGGCTGATCAGCTTGGGACCTGGGAATCTGACTTGGGAATCTGACTAGGGAATCTGACTTGGGAATCTGACCAGGAATCTGACCTGGAATCTGACTTGGGAATCTGACTTGGGAATTTCACATAGGAATCTGACTTGGGGGAATCTGACTCGGGAACATCACCTGCGAATCTCACGTGGGAATCTGACCTGGGAATCTGACCTGGGATTCTGACCTGGGAATGTGACCTTGGGAATCTGACCTGGGCAGCTGACCTAGGAATATGACCTGGGAATGTGACCTGGGAATCTGACTTGGGAATCCGACCGACCTGGGAAACTGACTGACTTGGGAATGTGACCTGGGAATCTGACCTGGGAATATGACTTGGGAATCGGACTTGGCAATCTGACTCAGGAATCTCACCTGGGAATCTCACCTGGGAATCTCACCTGGGAATCTCACCTTGGATTCTCACCTGGGAATCTGACCTGGAAATCTGACCTGGGAATCTGACCTGGAAATCTGACCTGGGAATGTGACCTGGGAATCTGACTTGGGAATCTGACGTGGGAATCTGACTAGGGAATCTGACTTGGGAATCTGACCAGGAATCTGACCTGGGAATCTGACTTGGGAATTTCGCATAGGAATCTGACTTGGGGGAATCTGACTCGGGAACATCACCTGCGAATCTCACGTGGGAATCTGACCTGGGAATCTGACTTGGGATTCTGACCTGGGAATGTGACGTGGGAATCTGACATGGGAATCTGACTTGGGAATTTGACATGGGAATCTGACCTGGGAATCGGACCTGTGAATCTGTCTCGGGTATGTAACTTGGGAATCTGGCTTGGGAATCGGACTAGGGAATCTGACTCAGGAACCTGACATGGGTGTCTGACTCCGGAATCTGACTCAGTAATTTGTCTCGGGGCATCTGACTTGGGAATTTGGCTTGGAATCTGAGCTGGGAATCTGACTTGGGAATCTGACTGGGGAATCTCACTTGGGAATCTGACTCGAGAACCCGACTTCTGAATCTGACACGGGAATCTGACTTGGGAATCTAACGTGGGAATCTGACCTGGGAATCTTACTTGGAATCGAACTAGGGAATCTGACATGGGAATCTGACTTGGGAATCTGAACTGGGAATCTGAACTGGGAATCTGACTTGGAAAACTGACCTGGGAAACGGACGTGTGAGTCTCTCGGGTATGTGACTCGGGAATCTGACTTGGTTATCTGACTGGGAATCTGATTTGGAATCTGACCTGGGAATCGACCTGTGAATCCGTCTCGGGTATGTGACTCTGGAGTCTGACTCGGAAATCTGACTTGGGAACCAGAGTCGGGAATCAGACTTGGGAATCTGACTTGGGAGAGGACTTCGGAATCTGACATGGGAATCTGACTTGGGAATCGGACCTGTGAATCTGTCTTGGGAATTTGACTCAGGAATCGGACTTGGGAATCTGACTTCGGAATCTGACATGGGAATCTGGCTTGGAATCTGATTTTGGTATCTGACCTGGGATCTGACATGGGAATCGGACTTGGGAATCTGACATGGGAATCACTGAACATGGGAATCTGACATGGAATCTACTTGGGAATCTGGGAATCGACTCAGGAATCTGACTTGGAATCTGACTTGGCTGGCAGGCACAAACTACAGGCAGGGGCAACATGATTCAAGCATGAGAGTGGGTTATGGTGAGTCAGAGATTGGTGAGAGGAAGTTATTGGGATCAGTATAATGACAGTGAGATGCAGGGACTCAAAGCAGCGAACAGTGATTGGTGGAGGGGAGGCAGAAAGAGGGGAAAGCGAGGAACAGCATGAACGAGTTATCAACGGCAAGATAAGACAACGGAGCAGGAAGACAGGAAGTGAGAGAAATACCGACCTAGATCGTCAAAAGATGAGCAAAAGTTGCAGAAACTGGGGAAGGGAAGGTTAGACGAATGGAGGTGAGAAGGTGAGAAGTAATGGGCGTGAAATGATTGGGGGTGGACGAATGGAGGAGGTAAATTCAGATTGTAAGCAATGTTGAGGGTAACACATTAGCAATAGCAATGACAACGACACCAGTGACGGTCAATGGGATGACAGCAGCAAAAGCTGCAGGAGTGGCAGCAGGAGCTCGCGGGCAGAGGGACGGCTTCTTGCTGATGTTTCTACTCCCCCCAGTGCCCCTGCTTGGAGCGCAGCTGGAGCTCGCGCGCTGCAAGTTGCAACACGCGGTGGAAGCCTCCTCACCGCACAGCCCGCAGGCAGAAGCAGCAAAGGCGCAAGCAACACAAGCGCAGACGCTTGGACCAACCCGCCACCACCACCTCACCTTCTCCAGTCAAGGCTTTTGGTGACTTTCAGTGACATTCATGCCACCTGGCAGCTGTTCATAGGCTGCGATGGCGAGGGGAGGGTGGGAGGGGAGATAGCAGGGCAGGAGGGACGAGGGTTGAGGATAGTAGGGAGGCGGGCGTAGAAAAGGGGGAAGGAAGCTGCTTGGAGCTAGCCTCCTGTTCAGACGACCATTCTGTAAGGTTGTTTCAAATCAACGCGCATTCTGTGTAACAGCGACACTCTTTCTTTATCTGGTGTAATTTCCTATCCAACCTGTAGCGGCTCTATTCCTAGCTTCCATATCGTAATTTGAAGAGACTCTAATCAGGATGCATGGACAAGGACAGCATCATGCTGCATGAAAAGTTATGTATGGAGCAACTTCAAACGCATCAACTAGTAAATAATTACTTCTGAAGTTTGTACACCGAACAAAGCCTTTCACCCTCCGCTGCATTTCTCCAATCTACTACCCCCCCTCCGTAAACCCCATCCTAGCCGGAGCCTCCAGCCAAGCACCATCACACTAATGCGTTGCTCCACCCAGATAGCTCTACCCAGGAACGCGTAATCTAGACACATGAGAGCGCCAAGAAACACACAATAGATGGAGAGAATCTCGCGAATCTCACGAATCCCGTCTCGCGCGTCCGATTATATTCCAATTTTCGCTGCGGAACGGGATTCGCGAGATTTTCTCCAATAGTCGTAGGGCCTACGAAGCTGATCAGCCAGACGAGCTTCTTTTCGCACAAACGCTTTGATCCGGCAGGCGGGTCAGTACGGCGACTGCAGAGCGTCCACACCATGAACGATCAGAAACGTCCCTTTGAAAATCTCAGGGTCGTTAATCTGCGCGTTGGCCTTCCCGAACCGCATCTTCCTCCCCCCCTCAGATTCGCCGACGCGGCGGCGGCGGCGTCCTCACTCTTGCTCATCTTGCGGCCATTGACGTCCTTGAGCTCACGCGCGTCGCTCATCTCCTGCTCCGAGTAGAGCCCGTCCACCATGTTGGCGCGCAGCCAGTTCCAGTACCCTTTGGCGTCCTCCAGGTCCGCGTTCGGGTTCAGCATCATGCTCACGCCCGCGCCGGCGGAGTCGGAGGTGAGCAGCGCGTCGTCCGCGGGGAAGAGCATGGCCTTGCGGTCCAGCTTGCCGAGCGTCTCGTCCGTCGGATTCCAGTCGCTCTCTGAAGCATTGCATTGCATTGCTCACACCAACACAAGAAACCAGAGCTCGATTTCGTCAACACATTTCATGATGAAAGCTATGAGGAGAACGTGGACTAGAATAGTTTGAGCGCAAAAGGTGTTGACGAGTTATAACTCCGGTTTAAACATGCCGAGAGATGTAGCTTTTAACAGAGAGCTTTCATGCTACTTACCCAATTTCGGGATGAAGTGGTCGAGGAAGGTGTGGTTATTCGGTATTTGCTGAATCGCGGGGTTCTTGAGTGCGTCGCGCGCGCTCTTCACCTCTGCGATCACCTCCTCCTTGCTGGGCCGCTTCGCCGCCGGCCGGCGCGACGAGCACCGCGATCAGCGGCAAATTCCGAGAATCGCCAGCTGGTTCCACCACGATGCCATGCCTCGCGCGGCTTGGAAAAGAGGGAGCGAGATAATTTCTCGACGGAACGAGTGAAGAGGGAGAGGACCTCGAAGTTTTTGAGAGGACTACTCGGCGGAAGAGAGAAGCAGAAGGATCGGGTGTTTCTGGGCAATGTGTGTTCACGTGCTTGTGTGATGTAACGAGCAGAACAGGGCTCTGCTTTATGCATTCGTGGAGCAGAAGTGGCTGGGTTCTCAGCGCGTGAGGTGGGCTGTGGAGGAAACAAGGGTTCCGGGACTCACGCTCGAAAATGAACATGGGTGACAGCGGTGTAGAGAATAAACACGCGGTCTCATGCGTTTTATCGTGGTATGGCTGCTTGTTTTGTGTTTAACCTCGGCAGAAAGAAAAGCACTGCGTTTCGAGTCATGCAATGCCCGACCAATCGGATTGTCGATTGATTTTTTGTGTGCGTCTCGAAACGCGTTGGGTGTGGTGTGTGAGCCGTGTGATGCGGCTGGGGATGTGGAACTTTGTTGCGGAGAAGGGTCCCTGAACGAGGAACCCATGGATGGACCATGGTACCCCTCAGGATTTACTCTGGGAGCGCGGACTTCAGAATGGATTTTAACCAGTCATCTGGGGACATCGTACCCGTCAGGGCCGTTTTCGGGTCAAAATCCGCCAGAACGCAGGCTAAAAGCCAGGTTCGAGCAAACAGAGACCCCAGAACCAGCGGAGTCGGTGTGACCCGAATCCGTCAAAAAGGGAGTTCCGGTCAAAAGACACCCGTTAAGAATCAGCATTTGGGTAGTTGCTCGTCGAGCATAGCCCCTGGGCGGAGGGTGCATTGACCAAAACAAGGTTCCAGCCTCACAATCGAAAATGAGAAAGGTTTGGCAGGTGGTGGAAATGTTTACGTCTAAATTGTCCAGAGTCCGCGCCCGCCACTTGAAAACATTTTCGAAACTAGAATTTTCCAAACTCAATGCCGAAAACTACCATAAATCTTATACATTCAGGGCAACTAGTCTTCGAACGTGGGTTCCGCTTGGCGCTTCTTGTGTTCGTAGACTGGATGCGACTGCGTTTGTCAAACGATGCCCCGACTAATCGGATGGACGATTTGATTCCGGAGTCAGCCTGAGGGCCTGCTCCTACGCGATGCCATGTCGTGCTACTGCGTGTCAAAATGTTATTTACGGGAATTTGTTACCAGCAAAATCTCAAGAACTCACGAAGGGACCTGGCATCGTGTCGTTTAGGAACACTCCCTGATACGCTCTGCATCTCAAGCCTGAACTTGAGTGCTGCTGAGCCGTGTGATGCGGCTGAGGATGCAAAACTTCTTGAGACAGAGTAGAGCGTACGCGAAAGATTAGGGAACCCATGGTACCGCTCTGAAACGCTCTGAAAGCATCTGCTCTAGTTTCGTTAAGTTGACTTGAATCTAATGTAAGTACACGACTCCTACTTGAACCATACACTTTGTCGTCACAAAAAAGTTGGCCCCGCAAAAACTGAAGTGTCTAGTCTCCGCTGGGCACAGGCAAAGTTGACTCTATTTTGTTTGTTGGCAAAATGTGACAACCAGTGCGAAACCCTAAAGATGACTGTACCCCCTCATCAAAGTCGTGTGAGGGGGCTTCGGCGAAAAGGGGCGGCGACATCCTGATGCTGCTAGTTTTGCACGCCAACCAAGTTACCGCGTTGAATTTCGCGCACACGTGCCTACAAAAAGGCCGAGCCCCTTCTGATTGGTTGGCCTGTGGGAGGACGGAAACTTTGGTTCACAAAGACGCTGTTACAACATACAATATACTAAATGTTACAACTACTTGCTACTAGCGCAGCCCTGTAAACGAGTACATGATATTATTGGTGTGCAGTGCCTACGAAGCCAGCCAATAGCAAGCGCCACGCGTGCACGACTGTTGTGGTGCTGGCACGAAGTGTATCGACCAACCAAATGAAACCAAGGCTGGGCTCAAATGCACAAGTTTATCTCAATACCCCACTTAATCGTTCTCACCTATCTTCCCAGAGCACGCCACCGGAAACAAACTTACTGCACCGTACTACTAGAGGGAACCACAACTTACCCAGCTTCACCTTATAGCTTTGCACCCATCGTTGTGTTCCTGATTCCATACTTGCTGCATCGTCTTCGCTTTTTTTCTTCCACGTTATCCGCCACTTTCACGCTTGTTTCGTAGAGTGTCTCTAAGTCGGATCCGCCGTCTAATGCATTAGTAGCTATCCCCACACCCCGCCGGCCCCTCCTATGCATGTTACATATGAAGCGGAAGGCCGACGTGCCTGACGTTCTTATCGCGCGCGTCGTAGCTGCACGCCTCCACCACGGTCTCCCTGTGCTGTGTCTCCACTCTGACCGTGACGGCGAGTTTGCCTCTGGCCGGCTTGGACAGTTCTATCGTGCGTAGGGCATCACCCAGTCGTACACCCTACCGGACTCCCCGCAGCAGAAATGGGGTCGCTGAGCGACGGCATCGGTTTGGTCATGGAGGTGGCTCGTACCTCAATGATCCATGCCGGTGCATCCCATTTCCTGTGGCCGTTCGGCGTTCCGCTACGCCGCTCACCAGCTTAACCTGTGGCCGCGCTCCCAGCGACCACAGGTTTCGTCGACCCTTCTTTGGACCGGGTTCCCTGATGATGCGTTCGCATTCCACGTCTGGGGCTGCCTCGCTCATGTTCGTGCCTCTGGCACGGACAAGCTCACTGCCCGCACTGTCCCTGTGTCTTCCTGGGTTTTCCCACTTGACTCGACTGACTGGCACTTTTTACAACCCGCCGTCTCACCGCTTCTTTCACTCCCATGAAGCTACTTTCGACGATTCTGTCTCCTTTTACACCGCTTTTCCCACCGAGGTCTCTTGGGTCCAATCCCCTCTTTCTGGTTCCCACTCCCCCGGTAGCCCCTGTTCACCTCCTCCCGTCCTGCTCCGTCTGGTGTGTCTCACGTCACTCCCCTCTTGTCGGTTGTCCCGATCGAGGAGTCGGCTGACTCTGGTGGCCCGCGGCGCCATTCTCGCTGGCCTGCCACTCCCTTGGTGTCTCTCCTCCGCCGTCGCAGTTGCCGCCGCAGCAGCGCTGCTGCCGCCGCAGTTGGAGCCGCTCGTGGACTCTGGGGTTGCTGGCGTTGAGGAGGGTGCTAATCCAGGGGTTCCTGTCGTGGCTTGTCCCGGTGGGCATAGGGGTGGCACCGGTGCTGGAGAGAGTTCTCGCTCTTAGGGTGGGCGTTTTTGGGGGTGCTGGCGTGGTGTGTTCCGGCGGTGGCCGTGGTGCAGCTGGCGGTCCAGGTGTCGGCGTCGAGCAGTAGCAGCAGCAGCAGTCGCCGCCGGTGTCCGCCCTTTGCCTGCTCGGCCTTCCTCCCTGACCGCTCGCTTGCGCCTCCCCGCCACCTCCTCTCTTCCTGTCTAAGGCCCTGTGTTCCCTCCACCGAACTCGTCTCCGGCTCGTCTTCCCCCTCGTTCCTCCCTTGTGTCTCCTCCTCTGTCTCCTAACCAGATGCCTTCGTCTCACGTCTGGTCTCGCCGTCCCTCTCGTGCTCGTCCTGTATCTCCTGTTCAGCGTTCTCACCCTATGTTGCTTCGTTCCTACGCGTTTCGTCCTCCCCTCCTGCCTTCGCCTCCTCCGTCGTCGCTCGCTGTCGCGCCTCCCCCTCTCTCTAACTACCTTGGTGCTGCTCGTCCTTTTGTTCCTCGGGTCCTTGCATTCCTCGTTACCGACCCGTCGGTTCTTGTCTCCAGTCGTGACGCTCTTGTCGCTGCTATCGCTGACTTCGCCTCTATCCGCCACCTTGAATCGCCACCGCTCTGGTCTCTGACCGGTGTCTGCCCTCTATCCCTTGGGGGTGCGCATGCCCTTGGCAGTGACGTCCTAGAGGATAGGCAGTACGAGCTTGCTTTCCTGTCTGAGGCTGCTCCCCATCTCTGTTCCATGCTGCTAGTCCATGAGGGTGACCCTGACGCCTTTGACATCCCGACCCCTCGCACTTACGCTGAGGCCACCTCGGGACCGTGGGCCTCTCAGTGGATAGCTGCCATGGAGCAGGAGATGTCATATTGGAGATCCACCGGCACCAACGTCGACGCAGTTCCCCCACCTGGGGTGAACGTGGTCGATGGCCGGTGGCTCTTCAAAGTGAAGCGCCCCCCTGGAGAGCCGCCTGTATTCAAGGCACGCTACGTGGCTAGAGGCTTCAGTCAGCGTGAGGGGTGGACTTCTTTCAGACCTTCGCCCCGACCCCGAAGACGACTACTCTTCGGGCGCTGCTGCACGTAATCGCACAGCATGACTACGAGTTACACTCCCTCGACTTCTCCACAGCGTTTCTCCAGGGCAGTCTACACGAGCAGGTCTACCTGCGCCGTCTACACGGCTTCACCGGTACCATCCCTCCTAGGACGCAGTGGCTTCTCCGGCACCCGGTCTACGGCCTACGTCAGGCGCCCTGTGAGTGGCACGACATGCTGCGTGCTACGCTAGCTGACGTGCAGTTCTTTCCGTCCTCTGCAGACCCCTCGCTCTTCGTTCGTGCTGGCCAGACTCCGTTCTACATCCTTGTCTACGTAGACGACCTGGTCTTCGCTACTGCAGACAGAGACGCACTAGTCTCTGTGAAGGCCGAGCTGCTGAGGAGACACACCTGCGCTGACCTAGGAGAGCTGCGCCGCTACCTTGGTCTGCAGATCTCCAGGGACAGAGCAGCGTGCACCATCACTCTCTCACAGTCACACTTGGTGCGCCAAGTCCTTCAGAGGTTCGGTCTTCAACTCTCCTCCGCACAGCCCACACCTCAGCCAGTAGACCACAGGCTCTCTGCTCCAGTTCCAGAGGAGTCAATAAAGCCCATTGGTCCTTACGCAGAGCTGGTGGGTTGCCTCATGTACCTAATGACTTGCACTCGTCCAGATCTCGCATACCCTCTCAGCATCATGGCTCGCTTTGTGGCCACAGGCAGACACCGACCACAGCACTGGTCGCCCGCTAAGAGAGTTTTGCGTTATCTAGCAAGTACAACGGGCACGGGGTTAGTGCTGGGAGGACGTAGGCCAGTGGTCCTTACTGGGCACACAGACGCATCTTGGGCAGACGACGCTGAGACCCTCAGGTCCTCTCAGGGCTACTGCTTTAGCGTTGGTTCAGGTGCCATCTCATGGAGGTCCACTCGCTCCTCGTCTGTTGCCCAGTCTAGCTGTGAGTCTGAGATCTACGCCGGTGCCATGGCGGCACAGGAGCTCTGCTGGCTGGCCTTCTTGCTCACCGACTTAGGTGAGCGGCCTAGCTCTGCCCCCGGTTCTGAACGCTGACAACAGGACCATGATCCTCCTTTGTCAAGAGCCTCGACTTGAGGGCAGAGCGAAGCACATCCAGCTGCGGTACTTCCTCCTGCGCGAGCTACAACAGCGTCGCCAGGCCTGCGTAGTACACTTGGCCTCTGGTGCCAACATAGCTGATATCTTTACTAAAGCGCTTGCGCCTAAGGATCATCAGCGGCACTGTTTGTAGCTTGGTCTAGTTCCTGTAGATTCTCACTTGCTAGGACCTTGATTGTGTACTCCTCTTTATATATACCTTTCAGACTGGCCTTGTGCTTCTCTTCCAGTGGCCGGACTAGTAGTGCCGCCCTGTTTTGCTCCTGTCTTGTTTATACTCTTGCTGACTGGTTTTCGGACCCCTGTCTCAGAGTTTGGACTAGTAGTGCCACCCTAAGCTGCGTGTTTCTTGCTCAGCACTGTAATAATTTGACAGGTGTTGCAGGGGACTACAGTAAGTGTAGAATCTGCAAACACAAACACTTGGAAAACCTCAAGTGTTAGCCTAGGATCTTTACTGGAATGGTAGACTAGTAAGGTAGCGGAAGTCTTTGTAAGAATGAACCTGAGTATATAATTCAGTTGAAGTCAAGTTTAAAGTCTCAAAGTTGAAATCTCAAGGTTAACAATAGAAAGGCATAAAAAAGATTTTATAGCTCTAGGAAAGTACTTGTTCGCTAATGTACCTGTTCGTCACTATCGCACTATTTGCCCTAAATGATAATGAAGAGACGCAACTATTCGCGCGACTGAAACGACTGTCCTCATGACGAGTGCTATTTGCTGACGTCATCCTACGGACTTATATTCTACTGTAGGATTCGACACTATCTACCGATAATCGACTTACAGAAATGCTAAGTATGCATTATATCACAACATCCCCTTCATTTCTGGAAGTTCGACAGTGTCACTTCTTGAAGATCCCGCAAAGCTTGTTACAGTACTGAAACTTCTGTCGTGTCAGCTTCTTCGTGAGGAAGTCGGCAGCCATTTCGTTGGTCAAACAATAGACCAATCGCATTCTCCCCTTCTCGACTTCATCCTTGACGAAAAAATAACGTAGTGAAATATGTTTCGTCCTGTTCACGAAGCCAGGTTGATGCGCGATGCGAATTGCACTCTGGTTGTCACACTGTAAAGTGATATGAGTACTCGTCGTCAACTTTGCTTCTTCCAAGAGCTCCTGCAGGTAAAGTCCTTCGCGTTTTGCTGTGCAGACAGCAATAAATTCAGCTTCAGCAGAGGAGAGAGCAATCCGCTCCTGCTTCATCGAATTCCAAGAAATAGGGCCGATAGGTTCAAGGCGGTAGATGAATCCAGCACGCGAGCGCCGATTAGTAGTATCAGCAGCGTGGTCGGCGCCGACGAAACGGTGTAGGTATAGAGTTTTACAGCCGACGACGTTGTAGACTAAGCCGACGTCAGGAGTCGAGACGAAATACTGAAGCGCGCGAAGAAGATCGAGTTGGTGTTCTTCTTCAGGACGGCGTAGGAACTGTGCGAGTTGACTAGCCGCGTACGCTAGATCTGGACGACAAGTAACAGCGGTGAAGAGTAGACAGCCTAATTGCTGTTGATCGGTCTGTAGGTCGGTTAGACTCAACGGTGTAGTATTCGGTTTGTAGTCTGTCGGTAGTGATCGGTACGGTGTAGTGACTGTAGAAGGAGTGAGGTTGAAGCGGGCAGCGAGCGTCGCTGCGTACTTCGAAGCGGTGAGGTGAATAGACGTCGGTGAGTAGGTAATATTTAAACCGAGAAACTGTGAGACTGTCTCGGAGACGGTAAGCTGTAGATTTTTCTGTAGTTTCAGTATGAAGGTATTGGCGAGCGAGTCGGTAGTACTGACGTAGAGAATATCGTCGACGTAGGCGACAAGTAAAATATAGTTGCTCCCGTCAGTTAAAAGATACATCCCCTGGTCATGCGGTAGTTGACGGAATCCAGCAGTGAGTAGCTGTGAATGTACTGTAGGTACTGCTTGCATAGCCGGGGTGCCTGTTTAATGCCGTATAGCGAATTTCGGAGACGGCATACGCTCGGTGGGTTAGTAGTATACTAATGTGGGTACTCTACCAGAATGAGTATGTCGACGGGTGCGTAGAGAAATGCGTTTGCCACGTCGATTTGTCGAAGTCGTAGATTGCGGCAGGCGGCGACACAGAGTAAAATCCGAACGCTCGTATGTCGACCGACGGGAGCAAAAGTTAACTCGTAGTCGATGCCGTAAGTCTGCTCGAACCCGCGGATGACCCATCACGCCTTGAATTTCTCAAACGACCCATCTGCATTAGTCTTGACACGGAAGACCCACTTCCCGGCAAGTACCTTCCTCCCTTTTACTTCTGATGTCGGTACTAACTCCCATGTGCCGCGAGTCTTGAGAGCTGCTAGCTCTCTGTCCATGGCTTTGCGCCATTTTTCGCGGTAAGGACTCGTAAGAGCTTGTCGAACGGTTTTCGGTTAAGATATTTTACTGTCGTTGTACTGTACTGCGACTGCGAATCCAAGTATCTGTAAGCCAGTTTCTGTAAAACGCGGACGTTCTTCGTTTGCACCTGCGAAATTTTCTTCTGACCCTTCTCCCCCCCCCCAATTTCGTTAGGTGTAACACGAACTGCTTCGTCGGAGACGGGTGGCATCGGCTGCTGTTGGCGATCGCGTTCGTAGCTGAGGTGGACTTCGGGAACGTCATCCGGGTCAACATCAGCGAGGGGAATAAATTACGGGATGCCTGTTGACATGACAGGTTCGGGAATGTCAGTTGCGGTAGCTTCGGAAGCTTCAGAAACCGCCTCGTCCTGTACATCAGCTTCGGCTTCGTCAGTTGCAAATGCACGCGAGCCTTCGAACAGCCTGGCAGGGTTTGCAGCTGCTGCCTAGTGGGCACGAAAAACTGGCAAGGTGAGTCTTTCATAGAAGAGACGATCACGTGAAGGGACAATTTGGTTTGAACGAAGATCCAAAATCTTCCATGCATGATACTATTTTTCGATGCCGAGGTGTACCCCCCATTTTGCCCGTTCGGAAAATTTGCCGAGTGCTGCAGTTGGAGGACGAAACTGCACGACACACCCAAAAACTCGTAAAAGTTTTGTACTTCCCACTGTTCGTGTCCACTGCAGGTGAGGTGAAGAAAACTCGGGCAGTGATGTGGAAGACAGCAGGTTGTGTAACAGCACCGCGTGGTCCATCGCATACGGCCAAAAGCGAGGAGGAAGGGCTGCCTGCGTCAGCAGAGCACGCATCTTCTCCTGCAGAGTCCGATTCATCCTTTCTGCTACCCCCATCTGTTGGTGTGCATGTGGCAGTGACTGCTTCCGTTTGATGCCGAGTGTCTGGAGGTAGTCTGTGAAAGCGTTGCTCGTGTACTCCCCTGCGCCATCACTCTGGAATTCTTGCAGTTTTGCTCAAGACTCTCTTTCAGCGACGGCGAGCCATGCGACGAAGACTGAATGGGCGAGATGTCGAGCAGGAAGGTTTTGCTGTCCAAACATATCGAGTAGATGCTTCGATGAAGGTAATCACGTACAGCTCTTCTTTAGGTCCTGCTTCAGGTAAGTTAAGAATATCGCTGTAGACCTTCTGCATCAGTTTGTAACGAGTGGAGCCAGGAAAATGACTCGAAAACGGGTCGTGGGTAAGATTGGTGACCGGACACGTGGTGCAGACCGTTGGGCGAGACTGCGGTTTCATCTCCGTGCCGTCAGGTAAGAGAAGACTGTTTTTATCAAGAACTGCTGCTCGGATTCAATGATTTAAAATCCCTTGCGATGGATGTCCTAACCGTTGGTGCCAAATTTCTTATGTGGCTTTGTGTCCTGATGATCGCAGATAAAAGTCGGCGTTAGTATAAAATGAAGAAATGATGAAAGGAGAAAGAGCTGGAGACATGTCAATCTCCCCTTCGACGAAACGGGTAAGGGGTAACTGAACATTTGAAGTGTCTGCTGTATTTGCGACTGCAATTTCTGATACTGCTTCTTTTGATGTTACAGTTTGATGGCAGATGGTCCTGCGACAGCTACTGGAAGACTCGGCTGCTCGGCGACTTCTTCTTTCACGGCTTCCTCGACGACTTCGGGTTCATCAGCTGCAAGTCCACTGATTTCTCCCCAAAGTGGAGCTGGAGTTCCTTGGAAGGCTGCACGGGTGTTATAGAAGGTTCGCCAAGCATTGGCGCCTTCATCGGCGGTATTAAACTCCCAAGTATCCAGTGCGGTAAGAACGGCAGCTACAGTTCTAGAAGCTGTTGGTACAGTAGTTGCCCGAAAAACAATATCCACGTGTATATAATATGTTTCTTCTGGGTGACCCCAGGGACCGAGACCAAGGACGCGTTCAGAATCACCAGAGGTGCCCTGTGCTGTGAACTGAAGAACTGATACTCCATGTTGAGTAGCAGCGCGACCGAGGTAAGTATTTGATAAACTGTGCCATAACTCCTGATCCATTGTATCACAATTCCCTTGTGTGCGAATCTTGTGTGCCAGGAGTTGAGCTGTGGAGAGAAGATTGAAACCAAGGCTGGCGACGATAGGAACATTGGTAACGTGTAAGGAATATCCCGTGTCGACTGATTCAAGTATTACACTCCCAATAGATCTTGCCATAATGGTTTGTCCGTTTGCAACTGTGACTGTTATCGGACGATGAAGAGGACACTGGTTGGTGATGACGCTTGTTTCAGCGGAGCACATGTGCCAACCGCAACAGCTGTCGAGATACCAAGTATTGGGTCCTGAAATGACTCGAGCAAGGTTAGCGTAAACTTGCGGTAAGGGAATGCCCTCTGCACTGGTGGTTTCTTCAAGTTGTGTCTCGAAATCTGTATCTGAAATATCAACTGTTGTAACACATCCAAAAACCCCTTTTCCTGATGTTGCAGATGCAAAGACCGGAGGACGATGCTGTGATGGCGGTGTACTCTGCGGCATCTGCTGCGTCTGGGACGTCGACTGCTGCATTTGCTGATGTGGCTTCGGTAACTGCTGCGAACGATGATATGGTTGCGAAGTGCTGCGACGGTTTTGACAACGACTGCGACAAGTTTGGTAAGTATGTCCTGGTTTCTTGCAGAAATGGCAGAAGGGATATTTCGGGGGAAGTCGTTGCTGTGGCTCTGGATTTGAGTAAAAACTTAATTGTAATCCTTTCTTCTGATTGCGTTGTGACTGCAGGTCAAGATCTTGCTGTTCCGCTTGAAGATACGACGAAATTTCGGTTTCTGAGAGGTTCGGATTCATGCGCAAGAAGGCGCGCGTCTGTCGCCACTCGGGACCAAGTCCAGCAAGAAGGACCATGAGATACATCTCACGAGGGAAGTATCCTCCACTCTTCTCCAGTTGATCTTGTAGTGTGCGAACACGATTGACGTAATCCATGACATTCTCGTTTGTCATCATCTGCACACTTGTCAGCTGCGAAAGAATCTTACTTGCTGTTATTGTGTCTTTTGCCATGTACACCCCCTTTAAGTGGTTCCATGCAGTTTCAGCTGGCGTGAAGCTTGAATGAAAAGATCGAACGCCAAGCTGCTCCTTTGGCGACAGGTTCCGAACTAGAACCGTATACGCCCCGAGAGAGGCGTGCAGGAAACTCTGTTGCTCCAGTTGTGTTCCCATGACAGGATACGTAAACTCGCCGGTGAAGAACGGCCATAGCCCAGCGAACTGCGCCAGAAGCTCAAACTCGAAGCTCCAGGAGTAAAATTCAACTCCGTTAAAAGGTATAGTAGTCTTGATCTGCGTGCTGGTAAGTAGATTTGGCGGTTGAAAAATAATCCCCTGTTGTTGAGGTTGTTGCTGTTGCTGGAATTGCTGTGGATGCTGCAGTTGTTGCTGTTGTTGCTGATGTTGCTGTTGCTGTTGTTGTTGCTGAGCAGGTGATCGCCCGAAGATGTAAAAGGGCTGCTGCTGCTGCGACTGCGGCTGCTGCGTAAACGGCGAGAAGGCAAATGAGCCAGTACTTGGAGCTGAAGCTCCACGCATGTAACTTGAGCCGTCAAGGCTCATTCCACTAAACGCTGACGATATTGACTGTGTTGAAAACTGCTGTGGTGTTGCTTGTTGCTGTGCTGTTGCCTGATGTTGTGCTGTTGCCTGTGTTTGTTGTTGTTGCGCTGTACGTGCAGTCGATGAAACACCTGGAGTACTGACAGAAGGCGGATTCTGCTGCTGCATACTGATGTGCGCATAAGCCAGTGGAAACGGTCCAGAGGCTGAGAGACCAGTGGCGGTCGTGGAGACAGGTACTCCAGTAGTTCCAGAACTGGATCCGGTAGATGGTGCTGGTGATGTCCCAGTCATTGTTGACAGTAGTCTTAAATCCAGATAGCTCTCATACCATGTAATAATTTGACAGGTGTTGCACGAGACTAAGTGTAGAATCTGCAAACACAAACACTTGGAAAACCTCAAGTGTTAGCCTAGGATCTTTACTGGAATGGTAGACAAGTAAGACAGTGGAAGTCTTTGTAAGAATGAACCTGAGTATATAATTCAGTTGAAGTCAAGTTTAAAGTCTCAAAGTTGAAATCTCAAGGTGAACAATAGAAAGGCATAACAAGGATTTTATAGCTCTAGGAAAGTACCTGTTCGCTAATGTACCTGTTCGCTAATGTACCTGTTCGTCACTATCGCGCTATGCGCCCTAAATGATAATGAAGAGACGCGACTATTCGCGTGACTGAAACGACTGTCCTCATGACGAGCGCTATTTGCTGACGTCATCCCATAGACTTATATTCTATAGTAGGATTCGACACTATCTACCGATAATCGACTTACAGAAATGCTAAGTATGCATTATATCACAACAAACACTACCCCTTATCTAGCCTAGGAGTGTGTCAACTTATACATATATTTGTATGTAGAAGTTATAGGCTAGATAGGTGTGTATTCTTAGAGGGTACAACTCCAACCCTATATCTCCCTTGTTCACCCTTGTTTCTAGTCATTCTTGTATTCTAACAGTTTGACCTGTATTGAAATCTAGCCTGACGATTCAGTTTAATTAGAACGGGCGAAAGGAAGGATACTAATGTGCTGTGAATAATGCGGTTTTTTCCTATGCGCCAATTGCGTGTAATAAGCAGGTGCATTTGTTTAGGCGCAACATTGTTTTATGTAAACACGTGCTTATGCAGAGGTTCTTATACATATTTGTGATTGTATGGAAGTTCCGTTTATTAATACGACTTAGTCAAAATGTAATTTACATTATTCAAGATTGTTATACAATCACAATGTGGGCTTTAAACTGCGCAATAACGAGTACAGCGTACTGTAATCACAAACGAATCATCAGCATTACAGCTTGGATTCGCCAATCAATCCTCGAGGAGTGTCCGCGTTCATTCCCCGATGAAACTCCCAGTATGCCGAGGACTGCCCTTGAATATTTTTTGTCTTTCTAGGGGATATACTGACGCGTCACCCAAGTGTCAATTTTGTGACTTCCGGCCCGATTTGTTTTGTGACGGTCCTCATACGTGCCAAAGAAGGGCCGAATCTACAGAGGAAATTACTATGTCAATGTAGCATATGATCCATTGTGTGTATCTTTCCGTATTTCGCCATGAGAAGGGACGGAGTGGGCGAGCTCCCTAGGAGATGGCTTCTGTACAAGGCAATGCATTGGTGGGGTTGGAAAATGGGCGCGAGAGATCGAAAATGGGTGGTGGGCGAGTGAAAGGGGGCGACAGGGGAAGCAAAAGGGCGTGACGGGACAGAGGCGAAGGAAGAGGGGAAGGGTAAAGCGAAGTTGAATAATGGAAGAGTTTCATGATGGGTGTTTTATAGGCTAGTAGTGTGCGCCCACCAGGACATGGGTGTGGGACAGGACATGGGTGTGTGACAAGACATGGGTGTGTGACAGGACATGGGTGTGTGACAGGCCATGGGTGTGTGACCGGCCATGGGTGTGTGACAGGCCATGGGTGTGTGACAGGCCATGGGTGTGTGACAGGCCATGGGTGTGTGACAGGCCATGGGTGTGTGACAGGCCATGGGTGTGTGACAGGCCATGGGTGTGTGACAGGACATGGGTGTGTGACAGGCCAAGGGTGTGTGACACGCCAAGGGTGTGTGACAGACCATGGGTGTGTGATAGGACATGGGTGTGTGACAGGCCATGGGTGTGTGACAGGCCATGGGTGTGTGACAGGTCATGGGTGTGTGACAGGACATGGGTGTGTGACAGGGCATGGGTGTGTGACAGGCCATGGGTGTGTGACAAGACATCGGTGTGTGACAGGCCATGGGTGTGTGACAGACCATGGGTGTGTGACAGGCCATGGGTGTGTGATAGGCCATGTGTGTGCGACAGGACATGGGTGTGTGACAGGCCATGTGTGTGTGACAGGCCATGGGTGTGTGACAGGCCATGGGTGTGGGACAAGACTTGAAAAGTAGTCATGGGAATGCGAGCAATGAAGGGCGTGCATGCGTGCATGCATGCATGGGCGTGTGTGCATATGTGCATAGGTTTGTGTGCAATCATGTAACTAGAGTTTCTGGTCTCGAGGCTGGTGAGGAAGACACGAAATTTGCAGGACAACCTGATTCGATAGCAGACATGACCTAACAAACCCTATATTCGATAACAGATCCTTCGTTGATCAAACCAATTCTGTTCAGTGAATTGAGGCATACTGCAGTGGGTGTAGATTCCTCGCAAAAAATCCACTCATGCTGGTTTAGTTTTTGGGTAAGAACAAAAGGCGTGGCAAAGAAAAGGTTCGGTAATCGTATCAGCAATCTTCTGACATAGGGTTTCCTAATGGGGTAGCAACGTTATTCTGGGATGCCGAGGAAAGGAGAGGGGTCATAACCACTATTTCCTAACAAACGTGGATAGCAAGTCCGGAAAACTTAGGTACATGATGTCCTAACCTCACCTTACTCCGACAGTGAACCTAATATAACCACAGGGAATGGTGATTCGGGCATGAGAGTGAGGCAGCGTGATTTAGCGATGAGAGTGTGGCATGGTGATTCAGGGAAGAGAGTGAGGCATGGTGAATGAGGCATCAGAGTTCGAAAGCATCAAAAGTTGTTATCTTGATATGCAATAAGAATCTGGCGACATATTATGACAAAGGAACCTGACTAAGGGTGAATCTGACAATTGGGATTCGACTGTTGATTCCTGAGATGGGAATCTGACAATGAGGTCAGTCATGGAACGTCGGCACTGGGAATTGTAAACGGGAATCTAAAATTGCAATTCTGACAATAGAGAACTGACTACGGGGATTGGAGAATTCGAACCTGACATGGAAAAATGAAGCGGGAACATGACATGAGTATATGCCATGGATAAGTAACAACGGAAATCTGACAATGGGAATCATCTGGCTCAGAAATCTGACATAGAATTCTGACAGTGAGAATCTGACAGTAAGAATTGAACAAAGGGGAATATATAGGATTCGGGCAGCTGCAACGTAGTCAGCATTGAACGTAGTCAGCTGGAATCTGGGGAAAACAAATTGAAGTGAGAATCTGACCACGTGAATTGGACAATGGAATGTGGCTGTGGGTGAATGTGACAATGAGATTCTGACAAATGAATCCGATACGGAAATCTGACAATGGAAGTCTGGCATGGAAAGTTGGCACTGGGAATTGGAAATAGGAATCTGAAAGCGGGAATCTGAGATTGGAAATGACAATGGGAAATAGATTTATACTTACCTGACATGCAAAAATAATATACCATGGGTATACGAGCGCATATGTGACAACGGAAATTTGACCTGGGGCTTGGGAATCTAACTTGGGAATCTGACCTGGGAATCTGACCTGGAAAGCTGAGGTGGGAATCTGGCTTGGGAATCGGACTTGGAAAGCTGACTTGGGATTCTGACTAGGAAATCTGACTTGGGAATCTCACCAGAAAATCTCACCTTCAAATCTGACTTGGGGTTCTGACTGATTTGGGAAACTGACAGACCTTGGAATCTGACTTGGGGATCTAACCTAGGAATCTGATCTAGGAATCTGACCTGGCATTGTGACCTGGGAATGTGACCTGGGAATCTGATTTGGGAATGTGACTCGGTAATCCGACTTGAGATTCTGACTCAGAAATCTGACTTGGAAATCTCACCAGGGAATTTGACAGGAACTTTATGGGATCCTGATAAAGGGAAAGAAATTTTGGAGTGAAATTAATATGCTCATGGCAATAATTCGGAATCTGACCTGGAAATCTGGCTCAAGAATGTGACTTGGGATTCTGACTTGCAAATCTGACCAGGGAATCTGACCTGGGAATCTCACCTGGGAATCTGACCTGGAAATCTGACCTGCGAGTCTGACCTGGGAATCTGACTTGGG